CTACAGTAATAACTCCAACACGAACATTCTGGCGTATCGTTCCACCACATAGTAACACGCGAGAATGATGATAATAATAGTAATAGTAATAATGCCTGTAACAACAACAACACCACCACCACCACCACCACCACTTCGCTAGAATAATGGTAGTAATCATGTGGAAGACCAAACAACGCTGATCAACCTGATCTAACCTGACCTAACTTGATCTAACCAAACATAACTTAAATAAACCTGATTTAACTAATTCTAATTTAACCTGACGTAGCATCCAGGATTACGTAGCTTCCAGAATCACATAGCTTCCAGGGTCGCGTAGCTTCCAGGATCGCATAGCTTCCAGGATCGCATAGCTTTCAGGGTCGCGTAGCTTCCAGGATCGCATAGCTTCCAGGGTCGCGTAGCTTCCAGGATTGCACGTAAGACACCTATAAAGAGTCCAGCATCACCTTGGCGGCCCGTGTTAATATAACCTGGACACTTAGGAGCGGCCTTGTGACACACCCACAACATAAAGGTCACTGAACCAACATCAACAATGATAATAACGTCAACACAGGTAATTATACACCTGAGGGTTTTTTTTTCTTTATCCCACGAGCTAATTATGTACCTGAGAGAGAAAATCCTGGTGGTTCTTCTGTCTCAGGCTGGAGAGAGAGAGAGAGAGAGAGAGAGAGAGAGACTCTTTCTTTTTCTTTCTCAGTAAACGTCATAAGAACAGTTTCGCTTTAATCCCGCTCTGATATAAAACGTTAGATTATATATAGTTAGGATAGGTCAGGTTAGGTAAGATAGTACTCAAGGTGAGGGCGGGCACACTCCATCTGCGGACCAGCACCACATGGGGAAGTTCCCCCCGCTCAGCTGGTATGTTAGTTAATATCAAGGCCAGCTTCTACCTCACCCTCCAACTTTTTTAACCCTCAAGTTGCTTTCATTATGCTGAGTTTTGGCGTTCGTACCCTGTGTGTGTGTGTGTGTGTGTGTGTGTGTGTGTGTGTGTGTGTGTGTGTGTGTGTGTGTCGTAATCTAAAATACCCATTTTATGTTATAATTCTTTCTTGAGTTAGTAGATAAGCTTGTCCTCTCCCTGCTATATATTACCCAACCCGTGTGTCCAAATGGCAAAGTCGCAGTGTTCGTATCACTGTTTATGAACAAATGGGTATTGGTGGTGTCGCGACGGACGTGATTGGTGGATAGGTTTGTTATAGGTCACATAGGTATGATAGGTTGGCCGTTTGGAGACACGGGTTACCACAGGGGTGTAGGAACACATTTCCGCAACTGTACCCGAGTGTATTAAGGGCTCTTGTATATGACGGGTGTGGCTAGGCGATAATTCCCTGGACTTATTGTGTGAGTGATAAATAACACCTGTTTGTTTCACCGTGTGGCCAGGCAATAAAACGAAATCCTCTCGATTCGTGAGTTAATTTGCAAGTGACAGTAAATTCCTGTTTGTTTCACCTAGTGTTTAGACAGAAAAACAACATATTCCACTTGGTTTTCAAGTTACTGTTTGTGATATTAAAAGCTGTATTTGTGGCCGGTCAGTAAGTCATTCTTCCTCTTTACTCAGAATTTATGTTTGTGACAATAAAAGACTTGTTCGTGACCAGCCAATAAAATAGCCAGAATTTCTGTTTTTGACTGGAAATAAACACTTACGTTTAACACTGTATCCAGATAATAATTTTTATGCCTCGCTGGACTTGACTCAATTACAGTCTATGGGAGAAATACTCCTACTCGTGTTTACCAAACGACACAGTGACCCCGTGGTTGAGTACTTTACGTCTGCCCGCAGACGTCGTTTACCTACACACACACACACATACACACACACTTGAATTGTATGATTTATTTGTATTGTGTTTCCTTTTTCACGTTTCCGTTGTGAAATAATGGAAACAAAAATAAATTACAACCGCCCACAAATAGTGTTTCAATTCAATTACACACGCGCACACACACACACACACACACACACACACACACACACACACACACACACACACACACACACACACACACACACACACACACTCTCGGGGATGCGTGCACAAAAAAGGTGCAAGAGAAATGTTTCATCATGGCTCTCTCTTAGGGAGTTACCCGACGAGGTGTTTTGTGTTATCTGAAAACTCACAAAAAACTTGGAGAGGAGGAGTGGACTTGCAGGTCTCTATTAGGTCCCAGTCCTAAAAGATCCCAGCTTCAATAGGTCCCAACTTTATTAAATCACAGTCTTATAAGATCCCAGTCCTAGTAGGTCACAGTCCTAATAGGTCCCAGTCCTAGTAGGTCACAGTCCTAATAGGTCACAGTCCTAATAGGTCACAGTCCTAGTAGGTCCCAGTCCTAGTAGGTCCCAGTCCTAGTAGGTCCCAGTCCTAGTAGGTCCCAGTCCTAGTAGGTCCCAGTCCTAGTAGGTCCCAGTCCCACAGGTCCCAGTCCCAAGGTCCCAGTCCTAGTAGGTCCCAGTCCTAGTAGGTCCCAGATCTAGGTCCCAGTCGTAATAGGTCCCAGTCCCATCCCAGATCTAGTAGGCCCAGTGTATCCCATTCTTAATAGGTCCCAGTCTTGTAGGTCCCAGTCTAATAGGTCCCAGTCCTAGGTCCCAGTCCCAATAGGTCCCAGTCCTAGTAGGTTCCAGCCTTAATAGGTCCCAGCCCTAGTAGTTCCCAGTCCTGGGTCCCAGTCCTAGTAGGTCCCAGTCCTAGTAGGTCCCAGTCCCAAGGGTCACAGTCCTAATAGGTCCCAGTCCTAGTAGGTCCCAGTCCTAGTAGGTCCCAGTCCTAGTAGGTCCCAGTCCTAGTAGGTCCCAGTCCTAGTAGGTCCCAGTCCTAGTAGGTCCCAGTCCTAGTAGGTCCCAGTCTTAATAGGTCCCAGCTAAGATAAGAGGGTCAGTGCAATGGTAACGTTACTTATGGACGTAATTATTATGTTTTATCTCAAGTCAACCAGTCAGTTATTACGTCTCCACGGCCGCCTCAAATATTTTATCTACACATTCCTTTGAGAGTCAGGGCGCGGTCAGTTGGTACTGCTGATCTGGATACTCTGATACATAACCGGACACATGGGCGACGTGTGTGTGTGTGTGTGTGTGTGTGTGTGTGTGTGTGTGTGTGTGTGTGTGTGTGGTCCTAGTTCTTTGATCCTTTGTTATGTAATATACCACATCTTTGGGGAGGGAGGTATGTCTTCTAGATACGACTCATTGAACTTGGGTGGTGAAGGAGAACACACACACACACACACACACACACACACACACACACATCGACCCAAGTAAAGCGGTTTCGAAGCCCTGTTATGCTGTCTCCACGCCCGTAAGCTGCTAATATGGCAACTATGTGTGATATACTTGTGACCTCCCATATGTTGGAGTCTACTCTTGTTATACTGTAATAATAATAATAATAATAATAATAATAATAATAATAATAATAATAATAATAATCTTAGACCAGACCATAACACATGTACTGCGGTTAGGTTAGGTTAGGTTAGGTTAGGTTAGGTTAGGTTAGGTTGGGTTGGGTTAGGTTAGGTTAGGTTAGGTTAGGTTAGGTCTAGAAACAATTTATCCCCATAATAAAATTGACAGGTTGATCAACAGGTATATTCCCCATAACAGCTACGTGAGAGGCAGGTAGGGAAAGGTGAGAGATGGGAAGTGAGTGGTGAGAGGTCCAGTTAGGGAGAAGTGAATGCCAGGTAGCGAGAGGTGAGAGTCAGGTAGCGAGAGGTGAGAGCCAGGTAGCGAGAGGTGAGAGGGCCCAGGTAGCGAGAGGTGAGAGATGGGAAGTGAGTGGTGAGAGGTCCAGTTAGGGAGAAGTGAATGCCAGGTAGCAAGAGGCGAGAGGGCCCAGGTAATACACTTCTTGTTTTATTTAATATTAATACAGGAGACGTTAATTAATACTGGTGACAGGTATAGGTATGTGGGAGTCACGAGGTGCTGTTTCTACTGTGTGGGGGAGGGAGTGGGGAAAAGATGGAATGAATATGAGAGGGAAGGGTTGTAGGTGAAGTGAAAATGAGGGGTATGGGTGGAAGGAAGGGGAGCGGTATTGGTGGGGGGAAGGGGAGCGGTATGGGTGGAAGGAAGGGGAGG